TAAATAATAAGAAATAATTTATCATACAGAATACATTAATTACAAACCACACTCAAATCTTTAATTACCTCAGCAGAATGAAGTTTGGATGACGAAAATGTTCTAGGATGTACAGACAGCTTTAGTAACCACGAATCTTAACTAGATCGTTTATTGAACATAATCTGATTGAAAATATATATATATATATATATCAGTATCAAAAAATTAATCAATTAATTGCTATTTGGAATAACACATCCAACTGAACAAATGCAAATCAAAGAAAATATCATTAGGCATATTACCTCAACAACAAACGATTGAATCTTAATACACCCATTTCCAGCTCAGACACTTCAATGTAATACTCCTTCATTTCACGAACCCATTTATAACCAATGATAATAGCTGTACAGAAAACCACAGAATAGCAACCCATAATGGAGAACGAACTTATATCTGAACATCCTCTTCACCTTCAATCGATTGATATGAATCTGTGAAAATGAATGGTTCAGAACCCATTTAAAATAATGAATAAGAATATAGTGGTCGAAGAATCTTAGATTCATTACAAACCGTCAACCAAATGAGATTCTCATCTATAGTTTTAAATATTTGACACCGAATATGAGATCGAAAGACCAAAATGGAGGTAGACTTTCTAAAAAAAAATTGCATGATGGTGAAGATTCCAGATCTATTCCATATGAACGAAGACCAACCTTAGGACAGAATGAATCCCGTTTTTTTAGGACAGAATGATTCCCGGAAAAAAAGAGCGAGCTACAAGTTGAATCAATCTACATCTCAGTGTCTTTTTCATTGAATCTAAGATATGAATATAGTGCTCGAAAATCTTGGATTTCTTACAAAATGCAAACAAAATGAGATTCAAAAACGAAAACTGGAAAAATCCGACACCGAATCTGAGATGCAAAGCAGAAGAGGCCGGTACACTTTCTAAAAAAAAAATGTTTAGAATGAAGAATCCAGATCTGTTCGATATGAACAATGACCAAATGAAGAAAATGAATACCCTTTTTTTATTTACTGTCTAAACATAAAGACTATTTACCCATCTAACCCTCCGAGTTTCCTGTTTTTATTTTTGCATCAACATAAATAAATTATTTACCCTTACTACCTTCAGAGTTTGTTAAATTGACTTTTTACCCACATAAATGAAATATTATCTTTATTATTAATAAAATTTACCACAAATATTATTTCCAAAATATCGCCCGGGCATCCGCCCGGGCCAAGCATCTAGTAACTTATTTATTTTTCTCCCAACCAACAACACTCTTCTCCATTTTGTCTCCAGTCGATCAATTTGCCTGCTCTGTACAGAACTAGGTATTGTTCTAACTTAATTCTCCATTTGGTGGAAAACTTGACCTTCATTGATCAAGTAAGAGATAATATCGATTGAAGCAACCATCTGTTTAGGATTTTTCTTTTCCCCTTTGTTTCAAATGTTTGAAATGTTCATGTTATAAGTTTGCACAGTAATAATCTAAATGGCAAAAGAACCATTAAATTGAGCTAATTTCAAAGCATCAAAGATTTTCTGGCAATAAAATTTGGAGACTGCTAATTGATTCTGCGTGAAAATTAGGGGTCCCATTAAGTTTCATTTTTTATTATTAATACTCAAAGTTAAGATTACGAAATCGAAATTTAAAAGGAGAAAATAAGAAGATATGAATCGCATTACAATCATTAAACTCAAAATTCTAGGCCAAATCATTTGGTAAATGACTGTGTAGGCAATAAGTTTGGATGAAATAGTGTAAAGAAGAATTAAATAGTCTTTTAGGTGCACAAAAAAACATTATCTGTTAATTAAATAATTAAGAAAAAATAAAAAATACCAATGCCCTTGAGAATAATTTTTATTTTTCCAATTCCCTTTTTAATAACTTTGAGGCTAGTTGATTTCTCCATTTTGGGAGAGAAAAATGATTTCTTGGGGTTTTTTAAGTAATCTTTTAGATGAAAATTTTGTATGCCAATTAAATTTTTGGAAACAATCATCTTAAATTACACTTACGGTACAATTTTAAACAATTTCATTGAATCCTTACTTTTCCAGAAAAATGAAAAAATGACTAAAATATACTTAGATATTTTAATAGAACTAATACTAATTAATAAAGTATAGTTATATATGAATATTCCAATAAAATTGATCTTAATCAAGTTATAACGGGATAATACTAATTTTCTATATAGATAAAGTTAAAATGAAGTCATAATAATTAGAGTTCAATTTTACGATAGTTGTGTGAATAAAATTTGCGGACAATCTTTATTTTAAATTTCTTGATTAAAATTGGCATTTCTTTAATTGTGTAAATGGTTGCCTTCATTAAGGCCAACATTAATGTATGATCTAATGAAATATAAGTAAATTATTTTGACATCAAGTTAAAGTTATAACTTATACATAGTATAATTTAACCCAGAATTAATAAAATACATTCTCAATCTCTAGCGTTTCTTTGAACAAGCATTTAGTCTCTTATTGTTGAAAGTAAATATTTGTAGACCATCTGCAAGAAATGAACAAAGCAGGTTTAAATGGAACACGGACAGCTCAGCTAACTTGGATTAGTCCACAGCCATGCTTTCCACTCTCTCCTGATCTCAGCAACATACCTTGGCGGGAAGAAGCTTTTGACTTGAAGAAGCAGCAACCGTTTGATTTAAAGGCGGTTATAGGATTGGATGGCCAGGATTGATTCTGGAACTTAAGCCGGTTAAGTCAAACTAGTTAGCCGGCACATTCTAGAAGCTTGAATGTATATATGTAGAGATAATGATTTGTAATAGAAGGTGAGATTAGTATGTTCATGTTTCCAGAAACCTATTTCTACATATTTTTCTTGATTTCATCTCTTTTTACTTCATCTTCTTCTACTTCGGTTTTCTGATGATCAGGATCAACAAATTTGTGATGGTATCAGAGCAGGTTTGATTCCTACTCTGTAATTCCGTGCAAATATACTCTGATCAAACAAATTACAGAATCTTCGAGATTAGGGTTAAATCGTTAAATCTTTGATTCGGAACAAATACTACACATATTCCTTCGAGATCTAACTTCTTGATCAAGAATCAGTCAAGAATGGAGAATGAGCAGTTGATGAGGCGTCAAATTCTTACGGAAGCAAATCATCGTGAATTGGAATTTCTAATTGAAGAGCAGTTGAATGTACACGGTTCTGAAAATCCAGGTACTCCTCTTGTTTCGGTACCTCTAAATGAAAAAAATTATTTGCTATGGAAGAATGCTATGATTCCTGCTTTACAAGCAAAAATGAAGTTGTGTTTTATAGACGGAACTCTACCTAGGCCACGAGAGAATACTTTGAAACGTATTAGGTGGGATCGTGCAAATAGTTTAGTCTGTTCGTGGATTAAGAGTTCAATTGCTCCTGAATTGGGTGAATCTTTTTATGTTCATACATGATGCAAAGATTCTTTGGAAACAGATTGAGAAATTGTATAGAACAACTAATTCACCTCAAATGTTTGAGTTAAAGCGTGAGATAACTTTGGTTAGACAAGGAGATTCTTCAATGGCACAGTACTATGGTAGATTGAAGCAATTATGGGATCAATATGAACAATTGAGGCCTACACATGTAATTGAAGGAGAAATTAGAAATCTGTTAAGAACTCGTGCTGTTGAGGACAAATCCATAGAGTTGCTCATGGGATTAAATGAGATATATGAGCAGGAGAAGAACAAGATTCTTTTTATAGATCCACTGCCTGAAGAAGAAGTAGTATATAATATGTTGGTTAAAGCAGAAACAGCTCGACATGTTACCACAAATATTGCTTCTGGCATAGAAAACTTGGCAATGGTAACTAAGGTACCAGACTGGAAACGGAATCAGGGTGCTGGAGGATCAAATTCAATGAACAAATCACAGAAGAAATACAGCTATTGTCAGATAGATGGACATCTGAGGGAAGAATGCTATAAACTGAATGGATATCTACCACATCTAGACAAGAAAGGTCTGAAATGCACATACTGTAAGAGAGATGGTCATCTCAAGGATGGGTGTTTTAAGCTGATTGGATTTCCAGAATGGTGGCCAAATAATCAAAAGAAGCCTGGAAACAAGATCAACACTGCACACATGGTTGACACACCTTTGTCTCTGGAACTGGAAACTCCTATTGATTTACGGATGCTGGTAGCAAATGCAGTACAGAAGGAGATGGAAAAGATAGATAAAGGGAAAACAGTCACTGATCATGCAAGCCCTTCTATGGTGAATATGGTGCATTATCATGATATGGCAGGTAACACTACTTACTCTAAGTTTTGTTCTGATTCCTACGATTTTATAGGACCTAGGTCATGGGTGACTGATACAGGTGCAACTGGTCATATGTGTAGAGATATTGCATTAATGAATCATCCTCAACCGGTCCAATCATACACTCCTGTATTGTTACCTGATGGCTCAATCAAATCTGTAACTCATATAGGAAATGCTGTGTTATCAGATTCTATCACTTTGACATCCTGTCTTCATGTGCCTGATTTCAAGTATAACCTTATCAGTTAGGAGATTAGCAAAAGTATCAAACATTTTTTTCCGTTTCTATACTGATTTCTATCTGTTGCAGGACCTTAAATCAGGAAAGGTCCTTGTAGCTGGGAGAGTCATCAGAGAACTGTATGTGTTGGATCATACATCTTTCACCTCAGAAGCCATATTAAAGACACAAGAGACCTTTGTAGGATATATGCTAGGAAACAGACCTTTTTTTCCATTTTTGCAATTGTAATGAAACAGAAAATGCAGCTTGTGTTGCAGTTACTCCTTTTCTTTTACATTCTAGATTGGGCCATCCTTCTTTGCCAGTTTTACAGGAAATCATGAAATCACATGATTTTAGTTGTTCAGAAAAATCCTTGAAGGATCCATGTTTAGAACACTGTGAGATATACCCTCTCTCTAAGCAGCATTGCAAACCTTTTCCCATTAGTCATATTCAATCACAAAATTGCTTTGAGCTTTTGCACATTGATGTGTGGGGTCCTTTTCATGTTCATTCCTTTACACATTGTCAGTATTTCTTGACCATTGTAGATGATCATAGTCGATCTACATGGACTTTGTTATTTCAGCATAAATCTCAGGTTCTTTCCTTGTTAGATCATTTCTTTAGAATGGTCAAAATTCAATACAATAGGGTAGTTAAGAGAATCAGAAGTGACAATAGAACCGAGTTTGTCAACATTTCATGTTCTAACCTTTTTTCCAGCCTAGGAATTCTACATCAAAAATCTTGTCCCTATACACCACAACAAAATGGTGTTGTGGAGAGAAAACATCAGCATCTCTTGCAGATTGCCCGTTCTCTTCTCATACAATCCAAATTACCAAAGAAATTCTGGGGGGGAATCTTTACTCACAGCCACTTTTCTAATCAACCGCCTACCTTCACCAATTCTAAAATGGAAGACACCATATGAACTACTTCATCAAAAACCACCGGCTCTTACTTTCTTAAGAAGTTTTGGTTGTCAGGCTTTTGTTTTAAACAAAACTTCTGGAAAGGATAAGTTTGATGCTAGGTCATATAGAGGGATCTTTGTGGGGTATCCTTCCAATCAAAAAGGGTACAAAGTTTATTGTCCTACTCTCAATAAAATTCTGATTTCCAGAGACGTTTTGTTCCATGAAACAGTGTTTCCATCCCTTACAAAGGAGCTTAATAATGCTGTATCACCTTCATATGTCATTCACACAGATGATCCATCACCTTTTGACATTCATCAGAGCCATTCTTCTACAGCTCCTGAACCTAGTTCACAGTCATCATCTTCTCATTCTGAGACAATGTCTTCATCTCCATCACAGACATCTAATGCTTCAGCTTCACCTGAGATAGTTGTGAATCCTCAGCCACCAATTAGAACCAGTAGTCGAATTAGAAAACAACCTTCTTATCTTGCTGACTTTTATACCTCACATTCTTGTATTGATCCTTCTAGCCTTCTAGCCTTGGATGATTCTAAGTGTCAATTTTCTGAACAATATATGAATTTTGTTGCAAATGTTTCTAACACACATGAACCTACTACTTACAATCAGGCCAGAACAAACTTAAAATTAGAGGCCATGAAGAAAGAATTACAGGCTTTAAAAGATAATGATACTTGGCAGTTAACAAGTTTACCTGCAGGCAAGAAAGCAATTGGCTCTAAATGGGTCTATAAGATAAAGAGAAATGCTGATGGAACAGTTGATAGATATAAGGCCAAATTAGTTGCAAAAGGCTATACACAAGTGGAAGGTGAAGACTTCTGTGAGGTGTTTTCTTCTGTGAGGTGTCTTCACAAGGTTGGCCTATTCATCAATTAGATGTTAATAATGCTTTTTTGCATGGACATTTAGATGAGGTAGTATACATGCATCCTCCATTGGGTTATGATAAGGCTGCTAAGGGTCAAGTTTGCAGATTGAAAAAGTCCTTGTATGGACTTAAACAGGCTTCCAGGCAATGGAACCTTGAGTTTAAAGAGAAGTTGATTGCTTATGGTTTTAGCCAATCCTATCATGATCCGTGTCTGTTTGTCTTTGATCATCATGACTGTCAGTTGTTTTTACTGGTTTATGTGGATGATGTGGTTTTGACTGGAACAAATGAAGCAGAAATAGAGAAGGTGAAACAGTTTCTGGATCAGGCATTTACTATCAAAGACCTGGGTTTAGCAAAATATTTCTTGGGAATGGAAATAACAAGATCAAGTGTGGGCATCTACATCAGTCAGAAGAAATATGTCACTGATCTTCTTTCTGATGCTCATTTGCTGGACTGTGTTCCAGCCATTACTCCTTTCCCTCCTTCCTTGCAGTTTCCATCAGAGGATAAAGATGAAACACCGTTATACGAAGATTCATCACAATATAGACGTTTGGTTGGTCGTCTTCTTTACCTCAATTACACAAGGCCTGATCTTACCTATGCTAAATAGCAGCTAAGTCAGTTTGTGCATCGGCCTCATATGTCACACTGAGAAGCAGCCATTCATGTTCTCAAGTATCTCTCAGGCACTATCAGTCGTGGAATTTTCTACTCTTCTTCTTCTCCTCTTTCTTTAACAGCATACAGTGATGCAAACTGGGGAACTTGTAGAACATCCATACAAAGAAATAAAGCATTATCTCATGCTCCTTTGCCGAAGCTGAATACCGGTCAATGGTAGCAACCGTTCGTGAACTCCAATGGATTTCTTACATCTTGACTGATTTTCGTCTGCCTTTGTCAGTCCCAATTCCGTTTTGGTGTGATAGTCAGGCAGCCTTAGATATCATTGCCAATCCGGTGTTTCATGAATGAACTAAACATATAGAGATCGATTGCCATGTAGTACGAGATCAGTTTAAAAAGGGTTTTATTCTCTCTTCCTATGTTTCCACCAAGTTGCAGCTTGCAGATTTGTTCACCAAGGCCCTTTCTTCCTCCATTTTTCAGTTCCTTTGTCCAAGATGAGCTTATGGAACGCTCATCTTGAGGAGGGGGTGCAGGAAATGAACAAAGCAGGTTTAAATGGAACACGGACAGCTCAGCTAACTTGGATTAGTCCACAGCCATGCTTTCCACTCTCTCCTGATCCCAGCAACATACCTTAGCGAGAAGAAGCGTTTGACTTGAAGAAGCAGCAACCGTTCAATCTAAAGGCGGTTATAGGATTGAATGGCTAGGATTGATTCTGGAACTTAAATCGGTTAAGTCAAACTGGTTAGCCGGCTCATTCTAGAAGCTTGAATGTATATATATAAAGATAATAATTTGTAATAGAAGGTGGATTAATATGTTCATGTTTCCAGAAACCTCTTTCTATGCATTCTTCTTGATTTCATCTCTTTTTACTTCATCTTCTTCTACTTCGGTTTTCTGATGATCAGGATCAACAAATTTGTGACCATCACATTGCAGCATTCACTCTTTCTGAAAAAGTTTCAAGGCTTAACGAAAATCACAACGCCAAAAGAGGTCGAACATATTCCTTTGCATGAGTGGAATGTAATTTCCCAAACAAGGAAAAGTAACAATTGATCTGCATTGAGCCAACAATCGTAAGGCCGGCTCTGTTTGGAAACCTAGTAAAGGTATTTCTTTCAATGTCTCCTTAATTTTAACATTTCCTATACACTTCTCAGGCAAATACCACAGTGCAAAAGTTTCCAGACAGAGCCGAAAGACAACATACTCACAGGAAGACCAGAAAGGAAGAGAAGGAAGATAGTATTAATTTGTACATGGCTACTCTGTTCAGATTTGTTTGTGTATTACTTGGGAAAAGAAGTATCTCACGGTGCTGCTGCTGAAGCCTTGCATATGGGACACCAATTTTTCATCCTTAACCACTGTTGTAAACATTCCACATGATAACCATGTTCACATCCCAGTCTCCCAATCTCATCACCGACTGCAAATTCCTCCTGCAAAAATATAATAAAGCTTTCCTTCAATCACGCGAACCAAAACTGACAAGCAACTATATAACCAAATATATATCCAAAAGACACATACAGGAATCTACTGAAATGAGCAAAAATACTCCGCCAGAGGCAAATACAAATGACGTGAACATAGACCGACACAACCACTCTATTAATTAAGAAACAGACAGAGAAGGATGTACCTCAGCATCAACTATTCCATAATTTCATCTCAATGAGCAACAAAAATGCCTAAAACCTATACGGACATCACCATGAGCTAGTGGAAATGGACACACAATACGAGTTTACACAGGCACATTTCAATATACAGGAAAGAATTAGATAAGCCTTCATTGTATTCTTTTGGCAAAAATTTTTCTGACTTCTCTTTCTACAAACGAACAAAACATGAAAAAGTTTGCCGAAACCCATCTTTTCAAGCATGTAAAATCCATCTCATTAATTAGTCTATAATTCCAGTCATCAAGCCCCTTATTCAAGTCAAGGGGGAAAAATGGCAAGTTAAACCTTTAACCCTGTTCAAATAAATGAAATCCTACCATCCCACATGCCATGAACTAGTTTCACTTATTAAAATGCACAACAAATGGAAAGAAGCTTTTCCATGACAAGAAGACTGAGATTCAAAACATCAAGCATGTAACAATGGAAAAGGAAACGCCAAATTTTAAGAGGTGTTCAATGTTAATGTGACCTGACAAATACTGCACTTGATATCGGCTTCATCCTCACCACATCCTCCCACCCTTACTTCTAAAGAAGTGGTTTGGTACATAGTCCTCTTTACACATTTTGCAAATGCCTCATCTGAAAGTGCTGTGCTAACGGTGCCCATCCGATCCCCAAGAGCAAGCAGTTCCTGGAGAGAATAGTTCAAAGCCATCAAGTGGTAGTTCTTGTGTCATTAGTTAAGAAGCAAGATCAATCCTCAACGTTTTATTACAATGGAAAATCAAGAAATGAAGCGGAAAGGTACAACAGTAGCTAAATACAAATTGCAACGGACAGTAACTTACCTCATATGACATGTTATCAATATCCAACCTCATGTCTCTGTGTTGGTCATAGAAGTAAAGGCTGCCAAAGAACAAGTTGTTCTCCAATAGAAGTAATTGCTAGGGCATAAAGAAAAGTAGCAGTCAACATAGAATGCCAACCTACACATGAAATAATAATAGAAAAAAGTTACATGATCAACCTCATAAGTCAGCTCTTCATCTTGTTCGATTCTCTCAAGCGCTAAAAGCACCTGCTCAAAAACAATAGAATGGGAAAAATCAAGACAACCATACAAAACTAAATGTATTGAGTTTCCAGTATCAGAAGAGTTCAATTCACGAGAATCACAGTACCTCAGCAGCTCCATTCAGATGATGCCGCCTTAATCCCTGAGCAACACCATGTTCGGTGGATGTCAAGGTCGCAGTTCGAGGAACACTGTCACCAATTTGCTCAGGAGTAGCATGAGAGCTTGAAGCAATTGAAGAGCCTGCCAAGGAGGACCTAGATGATGAAGCATGATAAGCATTATTGCACACTTCAGATCTAGGTGACCCTGGAATATTGCTTTGGCATTCAGTGACTGGAAAAGAAGTTACAGTCTCATGATTCGAACGCAAGATCCTAGAGTTGGCATTCGCTGATCTCCTTGTCTGTATTGGTGAACCAATATTACCATGAGTGGAAGCCCCATTCCTATTACGCCTTGCAATAGAGAAGGAGGTACAGCTGGTGGAAGGAGAGTTATGCTCATCTTTGGATGAAGCCACCTCTCGTTTCACTCTTGAATATGAACTGCTTTCTCCTACTGGCATTCTTTTCTTTAACAAGTTACTACCATTCCTTGACTCTGAAGATGAGCCACCACGAGGGATGATATTAGATAATGCATCGGATTTTAGATTCCTCGAACCATTGCAACTACCACTAATAGAGTTCCTATTAGTTGATATGCCACTATCTGTGGAGCTAACAGAAGAGCCAGAAGGAACATTGTGACAACCTGACTGAGGCTTGTGGCAAGGTACTCTTTTAGATGCATCTTTTAATCCTGTGCACAAACTTCCTTCTTCACCTGGCATGACCAAACGAGTACTTGATGCTCTCAGTTTAGGCTGCAGTTGAGCCTGATAATTCCTACCTCTACCTGTTCTGGGGTTAACTTTTGCTATGTGTGACTCATCCTGAACAAAACAAGGTTTTGACTGAAGAGATTCCAAATGAGATGAAAATTTCCGGGGAGAATCTTGGGCAGAATTTCTAGCCCTAGCGATTGTACAACAGTTCTTTGAGGAACTCCTGGCTACCTCCTTTCCATTTGATGAATTAACAGAAGGCCTAGAGAATTTGGCTTTCTCAGCAGAATCAAGAGGACCACTCCTGTATTTGAGTCTACCACTGCATCCAATTCGGTTGCAGAACTGAGAATTTAGATCCTTGGTATCTGTGCTATCTCTCATAACAAGACTGCATGCTCTTCTGGGGACAACAGTCCCACTTCTATTTCGTTTACCAGAACATCCATCCATCTACCTTGTGTCTGCACTTTATCCCTGTCGAATGTGCCATAAGTTGTTAGTATCTTTGACATGTGGATGGCAGAAAATCAGCTGTTGCTGAAGGATTAAATATTCTAAGATCACAACAACTAACCAAAACATAGAAAGGCATTATGCAGACACATATTCCTTGCAACTATCCACTATGTCAGTATAAAATAAATAAATTTCCGCAAGGAACAAACATTGAAATTACAATCGACATTTTTGCCAATCAAACAATTGATATTTACACAATATTGTAACCATCAGCCCCAAATCTTCTGTTCATACAGAGACATAAAGTAATATGGAAAGTAACATTTGATAGAATCATAAGCAACATACCATTCTCAGACAGAAAAACTCAAATCAAAGGCCCGAAAAAAAGAGCCACAAGTCAAAGGCAGGTTTAGATTCCAGAAGCCTAAAGAAGCTGACCATTATACATATGCATCACACAGCACAGAAGTTCCACATGGCTACCACAATGAAAAGTTCTGAAGTGAAAGCATCACTCTCAGTTCCTTGTGAAGTTAGTAGAACAACAAAAGCAATTGACTTTTCTGAAGTTTTTAAAGCAAAAAAAAAAAAAACAAGAAAAAGGGATTGCCTCATAAGTTCTGCGCTTTAGGTCAATCCTTGACTATTATGTTAAGTTTCTGAACCAAACAGAACTTTTTACCAATATTCACAGTAGTCCACAAACATTTTTCCTTGTTCTGGTTAACCAAAACCAGTTCTATGGCAACACGCCAAAGTCGAAGAACTAGAACAGCCAAGAATGTGTTAAAACACTTTCCAAAGGGTAGCACTTATTATTTCGAGCTACAAAAAGACGTAAAAAGATGTCTCAACCTCAACGATCAAGACAAGTTATGCATTATAACACCACAACCCCAAAAACCACACACACCTATCTCTAGCGTATGAAACTGGATAAGTAAAAAGAATAGCAAAACGGTAGGTCAGTAGGAGTTCAAATTCTATCAGAGAATTTGAAGATTGGGGGTAAGGTTGTAAGACATCCAAGCAACTCTGCAAATAGTCCTGAGTTCAATCAAAAGAGGGCAACAAAGATGTTCTAGAGAGATAAGCCCACAAAACCTCCCAAGAATAATTGTATGCTTTGCAAGTATAATCTCCAATATATTAACCAAAACTTCACTATTCATCTATTCAAATTGAATGGAAATACCCTAGTAACAGTAGTTCAAAGAATGTGTGAAAAATAAAACCAAAGAAACCTTGATATAATTTACACGGTAATATTTCCATTCAAAAGAATTTTCATAGCCTGCTTTTTTTTTTTTTTTCCGATAGCCTACTTAAGAACACAAAATTTCATCAGACACATAAAGGTAAATTCAAGCATCAGTCCCCTAAAAAGATGATTCCAAACAGTTCTTACACTTTTGATCATTTCCGGGCTAATGGAAAATCATAAATTTCCCCCCTCCAACACAGACTGCAGGCAACTTTTCCCAGGAGTTAAAACCCAACAAAAACAAGAAGTACCACGAGCTATTATCCTCGCATGGCCAAGCATATAAAAAGAAAACCCATCAACAAAACCATAATAAGGGTGCGAAAAGAAAAGAAGATGACACGACTAAAAGGCATCAAAGCAACCCATTCAATGGATAAGAGATAACCAATATCACCTACGGTCTCTAGTGTAATCAAAATCCAGTGAAGAAAATAACTAACCCAACCAATAGATGATCAGCTCGGAAGGAATTCATTAATTCAAGAGATAAACCAATCAGTATTTGACTAACACATGTCTGTTGGGTAATCAAAAACCAATAAGAAAAACAAACAACTAATTCCATTAACGAACAGCAACCACAGATAGTCAAAAGGAAAAATGGAGACTTACCAGACCAGAAGCGAAAGAAGAAAAAAAAAGAAACCATTCAACAACAGTAATCATCATGAAGGCAATCGAGAAAAGGAAAAAAAAAACCCACAAAATGATTTTCATCAACTACTAAAAAAACGCAATTCCAACCTTGTAAAGTGGCTTCTCTTAGCTGGAAGTAATTTGTTGTTAATGAAAATGATGGAAATTATCAGTGAAAACGCTGCTGAAAAAGGAAACCTTTGAGAGAGAGAAACAACGTTAAAGACGTGTTAAGTATGCAACTAATAATTAAAATTTGCATACGATCCGATGCTAAAGGGGAGACTTCCGGAAAATCCTTAACCAAAATAGCAAAATTAAAAAAAAAAAATAATGATAATATTAATAAAATAATAATAACTAAAAAGCCGTCCTGCCAACTGAGGCTTCGAGATTTAATAGGAGCCGTTGGATTCTATTTGTGTTAGGACGGTCAGTGATCAACGGCTATGTTTTTAGTTATCGGGCCCACATATTTGGGATGTGAGCTGAGCCTACCAGAACCTCAAAGGGGGCTAAAAGGCTTGTTTGGATAATGGGCCCAGTGGCCTACCACTCAGCTGAAAGTGAGACACTTTGGCCGCCTTTTGATTTTTAGCGTATTTTTTTAATTACTTAGCAAACTCAACAAATTCTCCACCTCTTCTGTTTTTTCTTTTTTTTTTTCTTTTTTTTTGAAAAAAAATGATAATCAACAAATTTAATAAAACTGGAGTTGAGGTTCAAATTTTTGGTTCCCACAAATATTAATTATAATTCTGTCGTCAATTCAGATAGGTTTCTGTTTCTTTCTTTCTTCTTCTTCTCTATTTGTTTTGTTTGCATTTAATTTTATCCATTTCTACATCAAAAATTTCTCCGCCTTCCGTTTTACTCCTATTCAGTAGTATTGACATCACTTATCGTTATGATCAATTTTGATTTTTTTGGTAAACTTGTAAATTATATTACTATCCAAACCTTCATATGTACAAGCCTAATTCTGAGGTATTACATATTTAATAGCTTGACCAAAATACCAAGACTATCTATTATCTAAATAACTGATATCACCATTATTCTTTGTTTTACAGCAAAATTGAATATTCCAAGATATTCAACTTTAATCCTAGTTGCTCTTTCCTGCATATTCAACTTCTCTCCTTTCAACTTCCTTGTATTTCTTTCTGTCCAAATATGATACACTACTGCAACCAGTGCAGATTATAAGACTCTCTTCGTTACCTTTTTAAACTTCTAAACTTTCTGGATATTGCCAATGCTGCTTCTGAAAACCATTTATGTTCATCTTCACTTTGAACTAACACACGATGAGTTGCAACCGTTGTTGTGCATTAGAAAAAAGTAATTGATAAATACAGAGTTATTTTGTTATATAAAGAGCAGAATCGTTTCAATTACGATAATATCTATATGTCAAATTTTAACACACCTATTGTAATTAATTTTCATTGTTTTCTCCATTCTTTTACGGATTTAGTAAAATCCAATCTCCGATTCTGAATCAAAATAAATAAAAAAACAAAAAAAAAAAAATTTGCATAGCTTCTTTTTCTTCTCTAAATCAAAAAAACTTTAAAAGAAAACAAAAAAACTTGCACAACTTCTTTTTTTTTTTTTTTTTATCTCCAAATACAAAAAACTTGCTTTACTTTTTTTTCTTCTCCAAATTAGGGAAAAAAAACTTGCATAGCTTTTTTTTCTTCCCGTTTCTTGTAATCTATATCTGTATATATATATATATATACACAGATATATATATACATATAGTACTTAATTAAAGCAGCAAACAAAAAATACAGGTGTCAGCTCCACATTTAATATTTTCCCGCCAAAAGTCATCTATAGTACTTAATTAAAGCAGCAAACAAAAAGGACAGGTGTCAGCTCCACGTTTAATATTTTCCCGCCAAAAGTTATTTTCAGTACAAAATCATTTTTGATACGTGACACTCTAACTATTCAGAAAAAAGATAGAATTGTAGAAAACCCAATGCTAATTTTCAGCAATAGCCCGAAAAAAAGCCCCCCAAATTACTCCCAATATTTTGGATTTGTGTCTCTCTCTTGTTCCTGAAGAACAACCTCCCAAGACTAATTTTCCACGTTCGTAATCTCCTCATATTGAGTTAGTAAAATCAAATTTCAAAAAGATTATTTTATTATCTTTCTCTCTCTCTCTCTCTCTCTCTCTCTCTCTCTCTCTCTCTCTCAATCCAGATGAATCCGAAATCTTCCAATTTGAAAAAATTCAGTTTCAAACATCAAAAGCACCAAGATGATTATACAAAAATTTTAAAAAAGATCCATTCACGTGGTGAATTTGATGAATCCCAGGGACGAACACCACCGATAGGAGATTCCGAAAATTTGGAGGAGGCCAATTTTGCTCTAATCAAATTCACGCACAACCACTGGTAAGTTAATCTCTCAATCCCCTTTATTACATTCAAAACCAATTTCACTCCCCACTCAATTTCTCAATAATGAAGAAAAAAAATCATGCCCATTTCGTTGCCCAATTTGAATTGATTAGTGAAACATCTGAAAAAAATAGAACAATATGGCTCTGGCGGATGAAGATGGTAGTGTACTACAAGAAAAGGTGGCGCGGCGATGCATTTACAAGGAGTCCCTCTGTCCCGATGCCTTTTGTTCTCGCTTAAATTCAAACGGTAAATTCCAAGTTATGGTAAAATATAATTCTAATTGCTTTTGCTGAGATATGATGATTCTTTCTTTTGGATTTTCCTAATCTTATTCAATGAAATCTGTAATTTCTTTTGTATTCAATTGATGAGATTCGGCTAGAAGAGAGTGAAACGTACAAAGCCCTGGTGAAGGCTCTCCTCATTCACCATCTCATTAAAAGAGGAATCTGGCGATGGGGATAAATATCTGGCAAGAAGTTTAAAGCGGCTGCCGTTACAAAAAGATAACGAAAGCCTGTGATTAGGGATTTTTGTTTGGGTTTTGTTATTTTTGGACAATCTCTCTTTTTTTTCGTGGACTTATTGATATGTTTTATTAATTGATTTAAGGATTGTTGACATCCAAATTTGCTTGATTTGGGTTTGGGATGGTTTTATACATACTTTTGAGTTATTTCTACTGTGAAAAATTTTAAAATATGAGCACAATGAGAAAAGAAGATTGATGTTGTTCATTTAATGCTTCCATTACTAGATCTTGGAACTTTTTTAATCTTTGAGTTCATGTCTATCAATTGTGCCATGCTTTTTGGAATTTTTTCCTTAATACTTGATTTATCTACTGTTCTAATGTAATTTTGAGGTTGCTTAATTGGATTCAATATTGTTTCATATACGATACTCTTCCATGTTGTTGATAAGTAGGAGGATCATTTATCAATGTATTTAGTTTGTTAACTTTCATTTCTACCTTCCAAGTGTTGATTTGTATTCCTTGATAAGATTTGTAATTGCAGTTCATAGTTGTGTTTTGATTGTAGATGTTGAATCATCCAGACAATAGAAGATTAGGTGTTAGCAATGAGGCAACATGTTACTCAAAAAGACATTGATTTTTCTTTATCTTCTGTATATTGATCCTTCATGTGGAGTAGCTAATTTATAGAATTTGTGTACGTCAAAATAATATGTTCATTTTTTTAACTGCTCTCTTCGAATATCCCAATAGTATCTTGACTATGACTATAATTTTTTATTAGTCGCCGGGCATGATTCGAGTAACAAAACAAAAGATAATTTGTAGAATTACATTTTGTTGTTTACACTTACTAGATTCCACATGACCTGTGCTATAATAATATTATTATACATATTGTTACTCTACATTGTATTTTCTTATAATTATGATTCTTCTTTTTTTATTTAACAATTTAAAACATAGGCGGTCCCCCGGGCATTTATAGAATTTGAGTACGTCAAAATAATATGTTCATTTTTTTAACTGCTCTCTTCGAATATCCCAATAGTATCTTGACTATGACTATAATTTTTTATTAGTCACCGGGCATGATTCGAGTAACAAAACAAAAGATAATTTTTAGAATTACATTTTGTTGTTTACACTTACTAGATTCCATATGACCTGTGCTATAATATTATTATACATATTGTTACTCTACATTGTATTTTCTTATAATTATGATTCTTCTTTTTTCATTTAACAATTTAAAACATAGGCGGTCCCCCGGGCGAATCAAGCATATAGTATTATATTAAAGCAAACTAAGTTTGTGGAAAAAAGTGCACGTGTCAAGTTCCTGTTAACCCGTTTCACGCCAAAAGTTTTTAGTATACAAATGTTTGATGCATTAATTGTTAAACATAATTTATAGAAACAATCATAATTTATGGATAAATTTGATTACTTAAGGAAAAAATCGTAATTAAGTGGTCATTTATTCAATGATTTTACCAAGACATGAAAGTTTCATTTGAAATGATTTGAAGATGATTAGGAAATGATAATTACGGTTGAATGTGGACGTCTTATCCACAGTTATTTGGCTTAAATAAATTAAAAAGGTATCATAAATTATTCCTCATTTATACTTTGATTTGAGCGAGATTTGAAAGATTTTTTTATAGTCAATTTCAAAATAATTAGTGAATGATATTATGATTGAATGTGGATGTTTTTTCCTTTCATATTCGATTTTAAAAAAATTGGAAAGGATTATAAAATATTGATTTTGCATTTATTGATTGATTTGAATTAAACGTGTTAGGACTACTATTTAAACTCCATTCCCCCCTCCCCATATGCACTCATCCACAATATCGTTCTTCTTATTTTTTTACGTAATATTGGTTAGAATTATGTGCTTTGAAATTTACTACTTTTTTTTTGTGCCCTCTCTGATTTAATTTTGCTTTTCAAATATTTTTTTGATCTTGGTTGAAGGTGATAAAAATGGCCACCGAATGCCATCAGTATGACACTAATTCTTTTGTTTATATTTTGTAAATTTTCCCATAACATGGCTTGTAAAATCTAATTTGCAAGTTATGTTCACTTGTGTAAATTATCTCAAAATATAGCTTGCAAAATATAATTTGAAAGTTATGTTTATATTGTGTAAATTATCCAATACGTGGCTTGCAAAATTTAATTTGCAGGTTATGTTCACTAATGTACATTATCTCAAAATATAACTTGCAAAATATGATTTATAAATTATGTTTATATTGTGTAAATTCTCCCAAAATGTGGCTTGTAAAATCGAAGCAGGTTATGTTCACTTTTTTTAACTAAACCCTTATCCTATCCCAATAGATTGTTTGCTAGACAATAGCAAATTATGTTCATA